AATACGACAAAAGGACACGGACCAATCCTAACCCTCCCCGGAGAAGACAAAAACGCTCATCGCTGATCTCATGTATAGGAAAACACTTTCCTGCTGTGATAGCGCCGCAATGATTCCTTGTCAGTACCATGACGAGGCGATTCCCCCCCCCCCCCCCCCCCCCCACGGGACCAGCTCTTAATTGTTCTATAAATAAACGAGTGAATGTTTCTGCAGGTTATGTTATCCTTTCTGCCGTGGCATCTGTCACCACTATGTTCCAAGCCGGGGCCACTAATGACAGGAGCAGGTGACAGTCCCCGGGACCTATGACCTCTCCTACCTCCAGACCGGAGCAACTACCGAACATCTCTAAGGCCTCATTCATTCGTTCCAAAAACGGCCTTAAACATGCGTGTCTCGCTGAATCCTAGCACAAATCCCCCCCCCAACCCACCCAGCACAAATCCCCCCCCAATTCCCTCCCCCTAGCACAAATCCTCCCCCCCCCAATCCCCTTTCCTAGCACAAATCCCCCCCCAATCCCCTCTCCTAGTACAAATCCCCCCAATCCCCTCTCCTAGTACAAATCCCCCCCAGCACAAATCCCTCCCAATCACCTCTCCTAGTACAAATCCCCCCCAATCCCCTCTCCTAGTACAAATCCCCCCCCAGCACAAATCCCCCCCAATCCCCTCTCCTAGCACAAATCCCCCCAGCACAAATCAAAATCCCCCCAGCACAAATCCCCCCAATCCCCTCTCCTAGCACAAATCCCCCCAAATCCCCCCTCCTAGTACAAATCCCCCCATGCCTCTCACAAATCCCCCCAATCCCCCCACCTAGTCCAAATCCCCCCCAATCCTCTCTCCTAGTACAAATCCCCCCCATTCCCCTCTCCTAGCACAAATCCCCTCTCCAATCCCCCCCAATCCCCTCTCCTAGTAACATATCCCCCCAGCACAAATCCCCCCCCAATTCCCCTTCTCTCCCCTACAATCCCCTCTCCTAGCACAAATGCCCCCCCAATCCCCTCTCCTAGCACAAATCCCCCACCAATCCCCTATCTCCTAGTAAAAAATCCCCCCCAATCCCCTCTCCTTGTACATATCCCCCCCAGCACAAATCCCCCCAATTCCCCCTTCTAGTACAAATCCCCTACAATCCCCTCTCCTAGCACAAATCCCCCCCCCAATCCCTCTCCTAGTACAAATCCCCCCAAAATCCCCCCCCCTTCTAGTACAAATCCCCCCAGTCCTCCCCCCTAGTACAAATTCCCCTCCAGTCCCCCCTCCCAGCACAAATCCCCCAATCCCCCCTTCTTGTACAAATCCCCCTTACGAGTTAGAAGAAGGATAGGCTTCTTTAACTGCCTCCCACCCTCCAAATAAGTTAATGACGGGCGCAAGGCGGATCTCTCTTTCTGGGAGGACGTCATATGGCATACTCTCACTCTAACCACGCATGCGCGGATCCGGGAGCGCGCAGCGCGGCGATCGGTGGTGTGCTGTATCCCTCGGACACAGAGGATCACCGATCAACGGAAAGAGCCGAAGACGCCGGCTCGGTCATGTGATCAGCTGTGTCCAATCACAGCTGATCACATGTAAATAGGGAAATGCCGGTTATCGGCAGTTCTCTCCTCACGAGCTGTCACACTGACAGAGGAGAGGAGAGCCGGCATTCCTCAGAGGGAACATGTACACTGATCATCAGGACACTGTAGCCCCATCAGTGCCACCTGCCAGTGCCTATCAGTGCCACCTGCCAGAGCCCATCAGTACCACATCAATGCCACATATCAGTGCCTACCAGTGCGCATCAATGCCACATATCAGTGCCCATCTGAGCTGCATTTCAGTGCCAGTCAGTGCCACCTATCAGTGCTGCCAATCAGTGCTGCCTATCAATGCCAGTCAGTGCCGCCTATCAGTGTGCGTCATTGCTGCCTATCAGTGCCAACTAACAGTGCCAGTCAGTGCCGCCTATCAGTGCCAGTCAGTGCTGCCTATCAGTGCCGCCTATTAGTGCCATATATGAGTGCTGCCTTTCAGTGCCCATCACTGATGCCTATCCATGCCCTTCAGTGCCACCTACCAGTGCCTCCTCATCAGTGCCACCTATCAGTACCCATCAGTGCAGCCTATCAGTGCAGCCTCATTAGCGCACATCAGTGAAGGAGGAAAAATCACTTATTTACAAAATTTTATAACAAAAACTAAGAAAAAATATTTTTTTCCCAAAATTTTCAGTTCTTTTTGGTTTGTTTAGAAAAAACATAAAAAACCCCGAGGTGATTAAATACCACCAAAAAAAAAAGCTCTATCTGTCTAAAAAAAATGATGAAAAGTCACATGGGTACAGTGTTGCATGACCGCGCAATTGTCATTCAAAGTGTGAGCGCTACAGTGTTACTTCATCCATGGAACCCAGCTCACTTTGGAGGGCTGGGGAGACCCCTGTCTCAGCTCCCCACATCCCTCTTATGTGTAAGTCACACTGTGCCTGTTAGGGGTACAGGGTGATCTGTCCTAATATTGGGGGGGGTTGTTGATTGATGTTAAGTGGCTGCATCCCATTGTTCTATTGTGTGTCTTGCTTGGGAGCAAACTATTATGGGATGTATGTGTTTATGTGTATTAGCTTGGTGGGGGGTGTCTCCAGCAGCCATCCCTCCTGATGGGACTGTCTGCTGGTGTGTCTCTTGTTACTAAATGTAGATTGCCCCACCCTGTGTCATTATGCAGGGAGGGGGGATTGTCCCCTGAGTGTATATATCTTGTATCTGTGTTCAAATAAACTAGTCTATTTCCTGGTTTACTTCAAGACTGGTGGCGTCTAGTCTTGTATGGTCGTCTGTGGTGTCTGTGGTCGGTGTTCAGAAGGGGAAGCGGGAGTCCAACGGAAGTACCCAAGCGCTGTCTGGGGGTCGGTTTCGTTACAACCTCCACCAGGGACGTGTTGAGAATTCCCTTGTGCAGCACGGTTGACCATCGGGACCAAACATCCTCCCACTATGATTTCCCCTAGATCTGACTCCCAAGCCAATGGGTAGGAAAGTTCGGGGACCTCTGGATTCTAGTTCCCTGACTTGTCACGTTTGTCCTGGTTCAGTGGAGTCACACCGCCATTTCTCCCGACTTTCTCCGACATTCCAGATCTGCAGATGTGTTCTGGGTTGGTGAGCTGCTAGAAGGTCATTGGGTTAGTATGACGGCCAGGCATCGAGCATTCTCAGAAGGAGCTCAGCAAAGTCTACAGAATGTATAACCGAAAAAAAAAATATTTTTTTTGTTCATTGCTTTTTTTTTGGTCCCCACTGGACAGAATAACCCTTGGCATCAGGTGTCTCCTTTGGAAGAGTTCCCCTCACCTCCTGTTTCGGGGGCAACTCTAAAATTTCATACTTCCCCTTAGTTTCTGTTCCTGTGACACCTTTCACAAATAAGGAGGGTTATTCTCTCCTCCTATCACCATGCTTCTTTTCAGCACATGAACCGACTGGCTCTTTGAGCTGCTTCTTCCTCTCACACTCCAGCCCTGCTGTAGAGAAAATGAAATAGTGAATGGATTAGCTGGAAATTCTTTCATTCCATCGAAACCTCGAACCTCTGCCAGCTCAGTGTCCCATCTATATCATCATTTTATATTCCCCCTCCGGGTGCGGTCAGGACATCAGCAGCCTTCAGTGCCCAATTCTCAGCCTCGTTCTGCGTGGCTCAGCACTCTTGGCGTATAGGTGAGCGCCTGAACTGTTGTATCGTGAGTGATGTATCGTGAGGTTTGTTTTGGAGAAAACATTTTCGATACAATAGTAAAATCGAAGCCAAGACTGACACCATCAATTCAGCACGTGAAAGTGATGTCAGTGGTAGGGGTTAGGTTAAAGGGGAACTCCAGACACATTAAAAAAAGACACCAATGGATGCAGCTAATCATTAATACATCATTCCACGTATTTTTAACCCCTTCCAGTCCAGACACTTTCCCCCCCTTCCAGTCCGGACACTTTCCCCCCCCCTTCCAGTCCAGACACTTCCCCCCCCCCCTTCCAGTCCGGACACTTTCACCCCCTTCCAGTCCGGACACTTTCACCCCCCTTCCAGTCCGGACACTTTCACCCCCTTCCAGTCCGGACACTTTCCCCTCCTTCCAGTCCGGACACTTTCACCCCCTTCCTGTCCGGACACTTTCACCCCCTTCCTGTCCGGACACTTTCAACCCCTTCCAGTCCGGACACTTTCCCCCCCTTCCAGTCGGACACTTCCACCCCCTTCCAGTCCGGTCACTTTTACCCCCCCTTCCAGTCCGGACACTTTCACTCCCTTAGAGTCCGGACACTTTCTCCCCCTTCCAGTCCGGACATTTTCACTCCCTCCCAGTCCGGACACTTTCACCCCCCTTCCAGTCCAGACACTTTCACCCCCTTCCAGTCCAGACGCTTTCCCCCCCTTCCAGTCCGGACGCTTTCCCCCCCTTCCAGTCCGGAAGCTTTCACCCCCTTCCAGTCCGGACGCTTTCACCCCCTTCCAGTCCGGACGCTTTCACCCCCTTCCAGTCTGGACACTTTCCCCCCCTTCCAGTTCGGACACTTTCACCCCCTTCCACTCCGGACACTTTCACCCCCTTCCAGTCTGGACACTTTCCCCCCCTTCCAGTCTGGACACTTTCACCCACTTCCAGTCCGGACACTTTCACCCCCCTTCCAGTCCGGACACTTTCACCCCCTTCCAGTCCGGACACTTTCACCCACTTCCAGTTCGGACACTTTCACCCCCCTTCCAGTCCAGACACTTTCACCCCCTTCCAGTCCGGACACTTTCACCCCCTTCCAGTCTGGACACTTTCACCCCCCTTCCAGTCCGGACGCTTTCACCCCCTTCCAGTCTGGACACTTTCACCCCCTTCCACTCCGGACACTTTCACCCCCTTCCAGTCCGGACACTTTCCCCCCCCTTCCAGTCTGGACACTTTCACCCACTTCCAGTCCGGACACTTTCACCCCCCTTCCAGTCCGGACACTTTCCCCCCCCCTTCCAGTCTGGACACTTTCACCCACTTCCAGTCCGGACACTTTCCCCCCCTTCCAGTCCGGACACTTTCACCCCCTTCCAGTCCGGACACTTTCACCCACTTCCAGTCCGGACACTTTCACCCCCCTTCCAGTCCGGACACTTTCACCCCCTTCCAGTCCAGACACTTTCACCCCCTTCCAGTCCGGACACTTTCACCCCCTTCCAGTCTGGACACTTTCCCCCCCCTCCAGTCCGGACACTTTCCCCCCCTTCCAGTCTGGACACTTTCACCCACTTCC